GCGATGTGGAGAGAAGGGGGTACTTTCACTAAACGGGATTCCACGGACGCCGCAGGGAAAGGCTGTCAAGGACTGGTGGAAAGGCACCCCCCATCCTGCTTGTACTGACAGCCAAAAGCAGGCTGGCGCGGGTAGCACACCAAGACAGGACTGCCGCGTGCTCGCAGCGGAGGGTGCGGGAAGCGGGGTCAGGCGCCGGAAGCTGGTCAGCACACACGCAGAAGGAAAACCTACAGCTTCATGGGGAGCATGCATGCTGTGCGACAACCGAAGAGCGCGGGCACCGAAGGCGTTCACAGCGAAGCGAATGAGAATACGAGACTGGAGTGACACAGTCAGTGTATTAACAGCCACAGAACGGGGAAGGATTAAGGACAGAACCTTCAGAGTTTTTCTAGTGAAAGCCTTAGTGTTAATTTTAACATCCTGTCAAACACAAGAGCACGTAGCGCATGTTAGTCGAGTGGCATTTAAACAGGGACAATATGCTTTTTGTGTTATGTTTTCCTGAATCATAAAGAAAACCTACCTTTCTTATACTCTTGGAAAATATCAAGGAAGACTGAGACCTTACAAGTGAATTTATTAAGAATTAGTTTAAACGAGAAGCGTCAGTCAATATCATGGCTTCAAATAAATAAGATTCTAAAACAACGTATCATGGCGATATTAAACATGAGGTATAGCCTGAAGTATGCAATGTTAAGGATCACTTTGATCATAACTTAAAAGTCAAACAGATGCAAAGAAACAAAACAGTCGTTAATGAGCCGCTTCGTTAGGTGCTGGCTTCCTAGGCGCACTGGGTGTTACAGAGCGATGGCGCTTGACGACACACGTGCACACGGGCACCCGAGTGGAGCTTACCTGCACCTTGCTCACCCCCTGCCCCGGGATCAGCACTCCCCACACGCTCACAGCGCTCACGCTGAAAGCACCCGCCATGGGCTTCCAAACCCCAAACTGCCACACAGCTCGGGCCGGGGTTTTCATCTTTCCTCAGGGCCTTGGACAGCTTTCTCCTCCTCCGCAGTACTTCAGCGTCCCAGGCGCTGAGAGGCCACAGGTTATGAGGAGGGGTTTTACAGACACGCCCCAGCACCGACGAGCTGTGGCGTCGCTGACTCCTCTGTCCATGCTCGGCACTACCTTGCCCTCCAACCCCTTCCCCGCCTCCGCCGGGCCCTCGCTCTACAGCGAGCAACCGGCTAGCCCGGCGCTCGTTAACAGAGGAATTAAAGAGAAGCCTGTGGGAGAAGGGAGAAAGCCTGGGGCCTCTCTAGTGAGAGACGCCAAGCCTTGTAGGGGAAGTGGAAAGTGCAGGGGAACGGTCACCCAGCCCCTCCCGAAGCGGGAGCGCTTCCGAAGCGCCAACACGCCGTTCCGAGCTCAACCATTGCAACCTGCGAGCTCAGCTGACAAATCCGGCCCACTCAGAAGGAATCGTTTTCTCCTGCAGATGCTGCTCACAAGCATCATCAGATCCCTGCTTTCCCTAGGAAGCCTCACTGCTGCCTCAAAACAATGAAACGAGACAGCAATCGAATTCCGACCGCAGCTTCCCGGGCACGGCACTAGCTACGAGCTGCCTCACACGGCCGGGTCCCCAGATTCCAGCGGTCGTTACTGGGAAGGGATGCAAAAGCGGCCTCTGGTTCGGTGGGGTTTGTGTTCAGAGGCTCGCACAGCACCCTGGCTCCTCTAAGAAGGTGCCACCCAAATGCTCTTCATACTGAATCAAATCGGAGAAGAGCTGCCCCCCCAAAACCCCCGTTCTCAGACCACAGGGCCGTGAGAGGCGTCAGGCCCAGGGCTAACAAACACCCTTGCTTTCTTTCACAAGCTGGCTGAAACGAAGCTCCCGCTCACTGCTGCCCCCTCCTCTCTCCTTTTTCTGAAGGGTGGCTTAGTAACTTCTGGGCCTACTGAAACCAAGCGTCGGCCTGTCACCAGTGTGCTCTGCACGCGCCAGCGAGCGTCTCCCCATCCCGCTATGTTCAGCAACCACGCGCAACAAAGTGAGTCAGCTGCAGATAAACTTCAAACTCCTGTCGTTCATCAACTGCTGCCCCTACGCTTACACCCAGCAAACACAGCGCATGGACTGGAGTTCAGGGCAGAGGCAGCAGGGACTTAAACGATAGGAGCCGTTTCTGCTCTGAGGGCAGCCTGCGGCGGGGGGAAAGGTGAAGCCAGCAGACCCAATGACCCTCCGGTTCCCAGCTGGCGCTGCCTGGCAGACAGCCACGGCCCTCAGAACTCCAGTACATGCAGAATTCGCTGTGCCCTGCAGAACTTCTGCATCTGAGAAGCAGCCCCACGCCACACGGAATAAGCGGCTTGCGGCTTCTTACCTGTAAATCCAGCTCTTGACATCTTTGTGCCAGCTCCTCCTTTTCTGCCAGCACTTCCTGAAGATCTTCCAAAGCTTTTTTAAGCTTTTAAAAATAAAGACAGTCAATCGGTCTGCCCCCTGCCCAAAGCACCCACAGCTCGAGCTTCCAAAACGTCTCAGTTGCCTGTACCAATTGTTTAAGGAGGTCAGGTGCACTTATGGACACAAAACCTACGGACGCGCCGTCAGACCCGGGATCGCTGCTCATTTCCCCTGGTTTTGAATTCCACCACATGTAATAAGTGACGTGAAACTCCCAAGTGACCAACAAAGCAACTTCGCTGAAAACAAAATGAAACCAAGCAGGGGAACACTCGCCTTGTCAGTTCCAGAATCCCTGCCTCTTCAATCCACTGCCCTTCCTCTCCGAGCAATACTGGTGCTGCTGTTGGGGCAGGGACTTTTAAAGCCAACCTCACTTAATGTGCAACACGCTGAGGTGTCCCAGGTTAGCAAGAAGTTTCCTGACCCCTCAAAAATAACCTGCAGTGTTCAGCCTGACGTGCCTGAGCCTCGGTGTGCCACCGGCTCTTCTGGCAGTGTAGGTTTGCACTGCCCAGGTTTGCCCCAGCCAGGAAGGAGACGTCAGTCGCTGCATTCTCTGAAAGAAGCTACAGCGTAGCTGACAGCTTGTCATTTAGCTAGCACTGAAACCAGAATCGCTCCACTGCCTATGCTCTGCCAACCCCAGTGTGGTGCTCTGCCCTTCGTGAACCAGCAAGGCCTACTACATCGGCTCTGAGCGGAAGAGAAGCCGGGTTGTGCAGATTAGACACAAAGAGCACAATTTATCGTGGAGGGGTGGGTTTTCTGACTTTTAGGCTCGCAGAGGAAGAGCAGCCCTCCTCTTCATTTAAAGGGTGGCAAGATACCAACTGACTGTTAGTCCTGAACTACAAGAGCAACAGATATTAGGCCGTTACCTGCTGTTCCATTTCACTTGATGCATCACCGGTGGAAGGACCCATTATTTCCTTGCTCATGAGCTACAGAAAGAGGCCACAGGAAAAGAAGGGTAAAATAGAGGTTAAATACCTGTAAATTCACTGTCTACTAAGTACCAGCTGTATTTTCCACCACGTCATTGCATCCCTTCAGTATATCAGAACAGAATAACAATAAAAAACACCTCATGGTTGGTAAAGGATTTAAACAAGTGTAGAATGTCTTTTTTTTTTTTGCTTCCCCCTCCCCAAATTCACCGACTCAGTAGTAACATCTTCTCAGATGACTGATCTGTTGAAGTTATTCCTCCCCCTTAGTCAAGTTAGAGTGATCCAAAAGATGGGTTTTCACTTAATTTATTGGTTCCTGTCTCCCTCCAGACACTGCTCCCAGCCCTGAAGCTCACGTGCGAGCGGCTGTGGAGCTGTGCGCGAGCTGGATCACGGGCACGATCCGACTAGGCACAATGAGAGCCGGGGCAGCACACCACGGCAAGAGCAGAGATGGGGCGGGAGTGTGTACATCAGAGGCTGCAACGGCCGCTCGAGCAACGCAGCCTCACCAACAGTTACCAGCAGCGTAACTTCAGGTCCAAGACTGCAGCACTGGGACACAGATCTCACAACCTGACGCCAGTATAATCAGCGGCTGGCAACCAGCTAGATTTCCTGTGTGACACCGGAAATCTTAAGCATCTATTGTCTCCATGAGTTGTGCACCTGGGCATACGAGACTAAGATCAAAACCCCTTGGTTGGCGTCTGGGGTCTTTTGGTCCTGATGCTCCCAGACACTTTAGGGAAGTATTTGCACTCTTCCCTGACCTTTGCTTGGATGAAAGAATTCACAGAGATCAGCAAATGGACATTCAGACCTATCTGACAGCGTTAGGCTATGAATTATCACTCACCTCTTGAATGGCAGTCATGACAACGTGCTGAACAGACTCTTCAAGGGTCATGATATTCTGTATGTGTTCTGTGAAAAAACATTTGCAGTGATCATGACAATGAGACATCATCTTGGTGTCCTGAGCAACACGATAGTCTGTTTGCAGCAAGATCCAGAAGAAACTATTCTCTATAAGGCTTCTTCCGGCCAGGGTGCACTCTTTGTATGCGGTTCTTACCCAGCATTATTACCCAGCAGTAGGGTAGGCAAGCGTAAGCCACCACAACCCCAAACTTACACTGCACACAGGAGGTTCCCGCAGGCGTTCTGCTTTTACGTGAGCTCCGGTTTCAGCACACGCACACAATATATGAGCAACAGAGACGTTTTGATAGGTAAGAAAGAAAAGTTTCTATGCCTCTTTCACCTCAGCCACGGCCGGAGGCTGCTGTTTGCTGAACGCACAAGGTAGTGCCTACCTTGCTTCCTCTCACAGTTGACTGCACAACCTAAAATAAGCTGCAGCAGCCTGCCCAGCTCGGTGGGATCCGAGTTCTCGGATATCTGGTTCAAGTCCGGGATAAGCTCTTCTGAAATCTGCTGACCCAGGAACTGAAAAAAATTGAAGAGGTAAGTGGGCTCCTACATTTGTGCGACATGAAAATCTGGTACCAGCTAGGCCACGTGGACGCGGTAAGCCATCCTGAGACAGCGTGGAGCCGTTACTAAGTGTGTCACCATGAGATGCAGGGAAGGGACAGATTTGAAGTGTGGAGATACACATTAAAACCAGTGGCTGAAGAGCCCCAGGTAAAGCAGATGTTCACAACTCATTGGCGACGGTGCTTCACACACGAAACGCGGATGGCACACACTGGGCCGCTCCTGGGCCAAGCATCGGTCCCTCCCTCGGGGTGGATGTGTGTCGCGGAAGCGGTTCTCAATCCACTGCTGGCCGATGGCCTTTACCATACTTGGCACCTCAGACTTTTCTCTGAATAGGCCCAAAATAACCAAAAGTAACAGCATTAACTATATACCCAAAACCTGGCAGTTACAGTGCAGTGAGGTTACGCGCTTTTGTAAGAGTTCTAGAAAACTGCTCTCAAAGGCACAAGTTTTGGAACTCTATTAACTGGGAGTTAGGTAACTGGCCACCTACACAAGAAAAAGCAACGGTAGGAAGTTAAAAATCCTTGGGCTAGACCTCAAATACGACAGAATTAATTCATTTTCCCAACATAATACAAAATTTAAAAAAAAACCCAAACTAAAAGCTTAAAAATGCTTCAAGAGGGTAACGGGTTTAAACTGAAAGTGGGGAGGTTTAGATGGGACAGCAGGAAGGAATTCTTCCCGCAGAGGGTGGGGAGCACTGGGACAGGTTGCCCAGAGAAGCTGGGGATGCCCCATGAGGCTTGGAGCAACCTGGTCTAGTGGAAGGTGTCCCTGCCCATGGCAGGGGGTGGGACTGGATGGTCTTTAAGGTCCCTTCAACACAAACCATTCTATGGTTCTATAAATGCAGTTTATACTGCATTTATGCATATACAATGCAGACGATCTTCCGTACTCATTAGGTCCCTGTCATAAAGCGCCATACAAAATCCTCTTTTTTTTTTAAAACCCTTAAAACATAGCCCCCTCTTTCACCTCCCGTACCCATCCCGCATGAGAGAACAAACTGCAGTCCTTACACTGTCCAGCAGGGTTCATGCTCAACCCCCAGACCCAGGGGAGTATCATGAAGCCCGAGTAGGGCTGGAATCGGATTCAGGATTGTTGTGGGGAGAAGGATTCACGCTTCACTAGACAAGAGGAAACGCAAGTGCTACAGGACTGGGCAGCTCAGTCCCTCCGAGGGTCACTGGGCAACAAGGGGCAGGTCTCCAGAGTCTACTCCACGGGTCTTATCTAAGACACACTTGCACAAATTCATTTTATCTTCACTCAGACCTCCCACTTAACCAGGCAACTATCATACGCTCTCTGCCCAAACAGTCCTTCAAATAAATCACTTGGCCAAGGAACAAAAAGCTAGACCAAGGAAGACAACAATCACCACCTTTAATCCTCAGATCAACAGAAGAATTGCTGCGTTTTCCGTACCTCATGATAGTAGTCCATAATCCCCTGCAGTATCTTCTTCAGGTTACTGGACTAATCGTTGCACATGGAAGACAAGGTTACAGGCTTTTATTAAAATTCTTAATTTGGCTGAAATTAGATAATAGTTTAGAATAAAACATTTACATAGCAGCTCTTCAAGAGAACCCTGTAATGACAGGGGAAGAGAAATGGCACAACAGAAAATCCCCATGCGACAGCTCTGGAAGGCACTAAACCACCCGCAGGCAGTCCAGGTTCACTCAAAATAACTGTAAAAGAGTCTCACTCTAGTTCTGTAGGTTTTGGACTGCTAGGCCCTTCAGGACAGACATGACACCCAGCCCCACAAGCTCACTTTCACTGATTCCAGCTCTGAATACCTTTATTCTCCAGTTGTCACCAACATCATCTTTGATGCGATTCAGCCAAGACGCATCAAACCAAGCAACGTCTCTGAAACAAAATCACACAATTAAACAGCCATAAGCACACACTAAAATACCAGATTCCCAGCACCAGATTACCATGCCTGACCATGGCGTCTAACGACGTGTATTCCTAGAGGCTGCAGGCTATGCCCCTGCCACAGGGCACTTCCATCCTGCCAGCAGAGTTAAAAACCACCTTCCAGGGCAGGAAGAATTGCTGCACATGCCTGAGCTAGCTGCAGCTCGGAAGACAGGGTTGGGAAGGCCTTGTCATGCTCAATTTTTACACCGGACAAAGTGATCATGATGCTGTGAAGAAACACCCCCTCTTGCAAGTGCGGACATTGGTGGGTACCTACTCTTATACATCTGGATTTTCCAATGGTTGCTACGCTTTGTCAAAGACACAAGGAGAAAAAACCCTTTCCCACTCGTGGCATTCCATACTGTCTGTGTGCCTGCGGCTCCCCTGGGCAGGAGTGTACTCGCCCCGCCAGCAGAAATCAGGATGCGCTGCTGAGGGAGGGGGACCCAGAACTGCAGGGGGGTGTCCCCAGCACGGAGCAGAGGGGGAGAATCCCCTCCCTTGACCTTTTCTTGCCCAATTCCCTTTAAGTATGAATTTCATACCGCAGTATTAGAGTATCTCCTCACCACCTTCTCCATTCCACCACATTATTCTTCAACTACTGTATCAGCCCCAGAACAACAATATAAAGGTACATTCCACCTCCTGCTATAAACTATCTCCTCTAGGCTTCTGTCTATTTTAACTATACCAAAATCCTTTGGGTGGGAGAAAGCAGCTATGCATGCCAACAAAACCTCAAGGAATTAAATACCTGTTCTTGGAACCTGGGTATCAACTTACATCTGGTGAAGGACCTGCGCCATGGCAACCCCGTTAGTCAGGTCCTCAACATCTCGGCACGGGGCAGCAGTATGGAACGTCTGCAACTGAAAGAGGGAGAAGAAGCGGGTGTTTCTTGATCAGTAGACAGGTACAGGCACTTAGTTACCATTTTCCTTTTCCATTTCAAGGCAAAAGCATTCCACAAGACGCCTTTCTACGTGTGGCACCTGAAACCCTTTCTGAAGGATTCCGTTTTTAAGCCAACCCAGTTATCTCAATACTGCTGACTTGATTCTGACAAGTAGCTTGCAACATTACTATTACCAGGCTTTGCTTTTTCATCCTAGCCCTGTTGTAAATCAGATCATGGAATACGAACCTGGGAGACTACAGTGGTGTTTATCTATCCCTCCAGTTACGCTGGAGTGCTCAGTTCTGGACACAAAACTACCCAAACAGAAAGTGGTGTCAGAAGCAGGGATGAAAGCTGAGGGGGGAGGGAAAACGTCTCTTACTACAAGCATTTAGTAACAGAAGTCAGGACACCAACAGAGACCCCTGAAATTATCTGGGGGTTAAGAAAGGAAGGGAGAAGCTGATGCAAGACGAGCAGAAATGCCCAGGGGCCCGAGAGCCACTCGCACTACAAGAGTGAAGATGGCGGAAAAAGACTGAACCATTCCAAGGCCTCTGAGCTGGCAACGTACCTCCCTGCGATTCAGGAATTCCAGCATTACTCCAAAGATATTCCTATTTAAATATGCAACTTCAGAATTCTGCCATAAACCCCAGGAACTTTACTGGAACCTGAAGTTATACATCTTTGCCTGCTAATCTCATTTTACTCATGTATTATTCGTCGTATTTATATTTAATGTACACATATTTTCCTGTTACTTCCCCAGCACCACAATTCCGAGTGTTTACACACAGGGCTGGATGCAGTTTTACCCCACCTACATATTTCTGTCTTAAGACTAAGCAGCAAACCCCAGTTTTCACTCTCCTCTGTCACAAAACCAGGCTCCAGACGGAGGCATTCTGAAACAAGCTGCCTGATCGGTTCCACGGGGGTTGTTACAGACAGTCGCTGTCTTCTAACTGGTGCTTCCAGGCACAAGTACAATAGAAGTCCCTTTGTAGCAGGGCTGTACAAACAAGATACAACACCCGTGCTACAGCATTTTTGTCTTTAGCACAAGTGCTGTGCAGTGGCTTCCCCAAAGGCAACTCCAATGCCATAAATTCGTCCAACACGTCCCGTCCTGACAGAGCACTGCAGCAACACTGGCAGCCGGCTCCGTGCCCAGGAGCCGTCACCACCGCGGCGCGTCATCCCGCCTTATTACACGTCCCCAGCCAGCTCTTCTTATCCGACGAGGCCGTACACGTCCCCAGCCAGCTCTTCTTATTCACCGAGGCCGTGACCCAATCAGAGAAGCCCCAGATCTGTCAGGCAGGATCTGCTGTGTGTGGTTAAGCCATGCTGGCTGTCACCAATCTCCTCTTGTTTCCATGTGCCTGACCATCGTTTCCGGGAGGATCTGCTCCACGACCCTGCGGGGCACAGAGGTGACACTGACTGGC